GTATGTATTGTTCTTGAAGAGAATTTAGCACTCACATTGGGGAGCTCACAACCACTTGTAATTCCACTTTTGAGATATAGGAAACATTCTTTTGACCTCCAAAGGCACCTGGACTCATATGCACACACCCACACACAGACAAGCACAGATATCCACTTAAAAATGTACATGAAAAAAATGGAACAACTCTTTAACAACAGAAATAATATAGATTGAGAAGAAAAACAATAATCCCCTTTTTATAACCATGATACAATTACCTATCATCTTTTTTATAGAAGGCTTGGTAGCTTACATCATTATTATTTAATTTCTGTTACCAATCTGGTTTAAACAAAATAGAAATTTTATTTAGAAAGGACATAATCTAGCATTCATTACCCATAGGTCTCCTTGGTTCAGGACACACATTAAGTCCTGGGCACACATTAAACACAAGAAGGAAAAAAGACCATTAATACCTTGGAATCATCATCCCTGCAGGATACTAAAGCTATTTCTGTGGTTAGAGTCAATAAGTATATATTCAGTATCCCCTGCTCTAATATCTATAGTCTATTCAAACTTGGCAGAGGGAATGTGAAAGTATCCACAAGTCAGTTCAAGCTTCAGTTCTAGGGAAAGTCATGAGTCCTACAATGAAAGGTCCCTGTCTTGGGGAATGGTGGCCCAGAATCATGTAAGAAAAGTGCACTCCCAGAGCCAGCCAACACAAGAAGTTTAGCTAGTTTCATCTAAATTAATGCTTTAGAATACCAAAGCACAGAGCCCACCCAATTGTTTTACAAAAATCTGCATGCTAGTGTCTATAATTGGCTTTTATTGGTGAGACTAGTTTTCAAAATATGTGGATTAGCTAAAATCTCTTAGGAATTTTCTACCTAAACTCTCTTCTTCTGGAGTCAAGAATCTGCTAAGAGCCATAACTTGGATATTTGAGGATGTTGCCTGAGGTTTAACGTCCAGACACATAGGCTGGGTTTGATTTCTAAATGTCTGGTGCAGATTAAAGGGTCATAGACTCTCCCTCCATGATGTGCTTGTATCTTTGCAGAATAAATCTTTCCTCAAAGGTCAGAAGGACAAGTTAGGCAATCCCACATTTACAAAGTGCATTTTAAATGGATTTATTCTTGTTGTTTTATAAACACTTGCTTAATATTTAGCAGTATTGTGGGAAGAAAATTAGCTCCGAAGCCTGCTTCAGTTTGATCTGGCAGCAGAATAACATTTTCATTTTATTTTCACTTTACACTTGTATCTAAGGATATTATTTTTCACATGTATTTGTGTGTGCATGGAGGTGGGGTTCGTGTATACTACAGTATGTATGTGGAGGTCAACTTGTAGGAGCCTGGACACAGAAAGACCTGGATCCCCTCTTTCCTTTATGCCTTTGGCCTTAGGTATTGCATAAAACACTTCCCACCTTTACCTTGGGCAGAACATGACACAGTAATTGATGGTAGCAAGACTATGATTAGAGCCTGGAGAGATGGCTCAGCAGCTAAAAGCAATTGATGTTCTTGCAGAGACCCTGGGTTCAACTCCAAGTACACACAACTCTCCATGACTCCAATTTCAAGTGATATTCTTCCTCCCCTCCATCCTGTGGGCTCCAAGCTTGCACAAAGTACGTAGACACGCATGCAAAACACGAAACACTTAACGCTATTAAAAATATATATAGTTTTTTTTAAGGTCAGACCTTGACATCCAGGATACCAATCCGACCCTCGTCATTTTAACAAGGCATTTGAATTAGAATCATGACAAAGTAAAGGCAATTCTAGTTTGACTGGGAAGGGGGGAGAGAGTTTCAGTAAATCTAAGTGAGGTGATGCAGATCCAAATAACCCTCTGTATGTAAAAGTTATGAGATGCTTTTGGCAGTGGTGAGTCTAATCTCACAACTTCTAACTTGGTTTGTAAGTGAAAGCAAGTATCTGGATGGCCAAGCTGATTCCATGGCATAACATCCCTGAAAATGTCCACTCTGATAGTTTAGGAGAACCTTTAAAACAGTACTACATACCTCATCTTAGAGATGCCAGCACTGCCAGTAGGAAAAGTGCAATTCGGGGGGTGACATATCTAATGGAAAAGGGCAGCCATGCCTGATGAAGAGACTTTCAATTCATGTCCAATCTGTTCCATTAATGAACCATGTGACATTGAAAAAAACAACAACAAAAACTAGGCCACTAAAGTGTCTTAGTCTTTTCTTCTATAATCAGATACTGGGGATCTGGACAAATTTTGTAGACACTTTCATATCCCAAATCAATGATGGTTACATTTCCGTAGATTTCTCAGTGGAGGTATATCCTACAAATAAGTGTCCTGTAGGATTTTTCAGAGATTCCATCCTACACTAACCCTGAGACAGGCAAGCAGGGACAGCTGCTCCCTTGTCCAGATGTGAAGGCAGCCAAGACCTGAGAGAATGGATATGCAGGCTTTGAAGGGACTCAAGCACTCCCTTCCCACCCTAATAGGATAAGGCTTATACATAATTCTGTGTGACCCTTCCACTACTGACGTTCACGCCATGTTATTGCTCGGCTTGCATGTTAAGCAAGCAAATTTTCAATGAACTCTTGCTGGCTGTGCCACAGACACAGATGTCAGGCGGACTCCTTTGTTCATAAGGTTCTCATTATTATCTCAACCCGAGCTGAATATTTGACTGAAGGAAAAGACCATATCATTATTTTCAGATTTCATCCTATGACTTAACTGGGCTACATCTGCCAGCTTCAGAAACAGCAAGTGCTGCTTGGCGCCAGCCTTGGCGTTCTTTTCTGTGACTATTACCCCAAATGTCTCAGCCCAAGGAAGCCTCCTCTGCATCAAAACAATTTAATAAAAACTAAAATTCTGATTAAGAGTTACTCATCAATTGACAGGGCATGCCACGCCAGAGCTATTTATGAATTATACCCCATAATATTTCAGGACTAACAAACAGAATCTGCATTCACAAATGGGAAAACTAGAAAGCCAGTAACCATTTTCATGATTTACAAGCTCTCTCTTGTACTTGAAACCATATTTTTTTAATAGGTATATTGGCATTCCTTTGAATAACTTGGTCTGCTTTAAATCTATTCTAAGGCTCTGGGTAGCATAAGGGAGATTCAAAATGCTTATAATTCTTCTATTCATCTTTGGACCATCTCTCAGCATATATATATATATATATATATATATATATATATATATATATATAGTCGCTATGGCATAGGAATACCTGTCAAGTATAACACAAAATGCATTACAATAATGACACCAAAGCCATTTAGAAAAATGCTACAAATCACCCAAATTCCACATACAAAATATCCTATAAGCCCACTAAACAACATAAAAGAACTAACTGCTTTCATGCATCTGGACATCACCATCAATAATGTAAATCAGCAAGGATAATTTGAAATCACCTTTGCTGATCATTAGAAAAGGCCATTCGGGGCCTGAGAGGATGGATCAGTGGTTAAGCATGCTTGTTGCTCTGTCATTAGAACCTGAGTTTGGATCCCAGAACCCAGGTCAGGTGGCTCATCCATGACTTCAGCTCTATCTTCAAAGGGTACAGGCATCTGCACACACATGCACGCACGCGCGCACACACACACACACACACACACACACAAATAATAAAGTTAACGGGTACATAAATAAATAAAGCAGTCCCATCTCTCTATAGTAGAGGAACCTGGGGTTTCTACTATAGTTGTTCCAAGTGCCTGGGGGAAAGAATGACCAATTTTCTACAAGAAAGTCCCATGCAAAATAAAGTTGCTTTATTCTTTCAACATCTTGCAGACTCTTGGAACATGAGGACCTAAGGGAACATGCCCTGTATTCCAGCCAATGTTTTAAATACATCTCATAGACAAATGGTCATTCAGTCTTTGAAAAACACCTGTTTTCAGTTCCATCACTAAATACAGCAATTTATTCCCTAATTGCCATCTCTAATCCCAAGATCATCCTTACAAGAACCAATGCGACAAGCACTTCTGTGACTCTCATGCTGGGTGGCACTGATCTGATTTAGAATTTTAGGCTTATCCATTAAGCACCTGAGACTCAAGGTTCAACTAACTCTACTCTTCTCCCTTGGGTCCTTCTCCTCTGGACAGTTTTAATGGTTAGGACACCCATTATCTGGTTCACATTAGCATTTATTAGTAGCTTTTGCATGGTGGCATCCAGATATGATCTAACTAGTTACAGAACTAGCAGGACTCATGCTCTGTATGATACAAAATCTGATTTTTTACAACAACAGACTAAATATATTTGCAACAGACTGAGTGTTTGTGACCCCACTCTTTGAGTATTGCAACCCTAATTCCCCCACACCATCCTGTCATGTCTTGGTGTCAGGAATGAAAGTCTTTGATGGTCCTTAGACCTTGAGAATGGAGCCCTTGGGAATGAGGTAGGTGGGTTTATTTATGAACAAATTGCAGGAGTGCTCACTCGGCTGCTTTCTATGACAAGTAGAATACAAGCAGAAAATGATTCTCTGAACCCTGGGCAGGGCCTAACTGTGCAGCGGTCCTGGTCTTTACCTGTGCTTTTTAGAACCATAAGGAACACAGTCTTTAGTTTAAAAGCTATCCAGTATATACTATTATATTACCACAAAAGAACAGATTAGAAACATCATGTGAGAATTGGACGTTTAACATGGTATAAAAGAGGCAGAAAGTCAGATGTTGTGGGCACACATCTTTAATTCCAGCACTCAGGAGGCAGCCTGGTCTACAGAGTGCATGCCAGGACAGGCTCCAAAACAATACAGAAAAACACTGTCTTGGAAAAAAAGGCAGGAAAATGATATTAATATAGCCTACTAGGAAAAAAAGCACTAATTATACCTCATGTTACAGGAAACTAACTGCCTAGGTAAAACTTTCTAGCAAACATCACAAAATTTAGCTCAACTGTTAGTATTAAGTGACTGTGTTTTATTTTTTTACACTTACCATGTTGTATGTCTTTCATATCTAAATGAAGACTAGACATTAGAATTCCTACTGCTTGTGATCTTTTGTTGCTAAGCAACTTGACAACCTGTTCAAGAAAGAAGAAAAGGAGAGACATTAACTTAAACCCTAATATACTTAATAACATTTTTAAATTCTACACGAAGAACCAGTAAAGAACAATGCTTGCATATTACTACTTTGGGATTTTCTTTTTATACCAAACCAATAAAATCTACCATTTTCTTCCAAGCAGTTACCATCAGCCTTAAAGCCAAATCGCCAAGAGTATACAAAATTAGTCTAGTTTCTGAAGATTAAAATTACACATGTGATCATATGCTACCTGAGATAAAACATTGAAAGGCTGGTAAACAATGGCAAAATCAAACAGGAAATCTGCCAGATCAGATCTGTTTTATAATGGAGAAAATGTGCTCCATTAGGTAGTCGGGTCTTATGGGCGGTCCTTACTTTGTTGGTAGTTCCTTTCATTCTACATTTGATCCATATTTGATGGTCAATTTTCCAACTAATTAATAGAAGAATATGAGTGTCATATTAGAAGGAACACACTGACCTGTCCCCAAGTCTTTCTGTCTAGAAAGTCTGAAAGAATCTGTATACATACCCTAGTTAAGTCTCCCAAGATAGAGATGAACAAACTACTAGAGTATATCCATGCTTGAACTACATTCTCCAACAATACACATTACCATGATTTCCTGGTTAAGAAAATTTTATTCCAGCAAAGTCTGTTTAATATCCTGTTTTCTTTTAAATCCACATAGAAAAATATTAAAAGGAAAGAGAAGTGATTACAGCCCAATTATTGGAATCAGTTACTGCCTCACAAGTTCTCACCTTTTCTGACCTTGTCTTTCAGTTTAAGTTGGGTCAGTCAAGAACCTAATAAAATAATCAGACCCAGATGTCACACAAGTCCACTGAGTAAACAATATTCACCAAAGCAATAACAGTACTCTTGGTCTCCTGGCAGGAATGGGGATGGGCATTAAAATATCATAATTCCAGAATGCTTCCAATATAGGGGACAATACCCACCACAAGAGATACTGTGGCCTCAGAGGAAGAACAATGGCATAGAAGTTTATTGTTAATTTCTTTCTTTCAATAGTTTACTAGATTGAACATACAAGACCTGGTTTTAAATGATTATTAACTACTTGAATAGATTGTCAATAAAATTGTCTCCTTCAGAGCTAAGAAATTAGAAATGCATTGTCTGGAAGTAGGTTATATTCTGCTGAACAACAATTTCTAAGTTCATGGTCAGGCGATCTGGGCCCCATTTATACTATTGCTATTAAAATTCCTATTGTTTTCTGTTCCTTAGGTGCAATGGCACACTTGAATTAGTGCATCAATTTATTACCCAGGGGTGTTAACATGTTGTTCACACCCACAGCTCCTCTCCTCATCATGATTCTGACAATTCTTCCTTTTGAAGTCAGATTATTATGATTTTACCTTAAATAACCACATTAGCTTCAGTCCTGTTCTCTGTGCTTCATTCTTTATAATCCACAATTTCTTTCACATGACATATACACCTCATCCACTCAGCAGTTTCCTACTTTCCTAAAAGTTATCTCCTTTGAAATTACTCACATAGTCTCTATTTGACATGTCTAAACCAAATTCCAGGGAGTCACCCCTCAAATGTCCAGCCAATATCTCCTTATTTACTTTGTATCTTGGAGTAAGGGTACCACCATTCTCCATCCATCTACCAAGGCTGAAAACTGAGGTATCAATCTAGACCTTTCCCTCTCCTCTGCTTGTATAACATAATGGGCAGGAATCAAGTCAGGCAAGGACAATCTGCCTGTGTCATCTGAAGCTATGCCCTCCATCTTAATGTCAGTGTTTACTTTTATATTACAGTTTGCATAGATCAAAGCAAAAGCCTGTAATTAACGCCCCAAGTCCGGTTCAGTGTTTCTAAACTGTCTTCTTTACACAATGAGTAGTTCATGATCACCCACCATGAAGAAATTTACAAATTTTAATTAAGCTCCTGAGCTGTAACCGAAACCCACTTACCAGGAGATCTGAGTAGGAATATCATTGCCATTTTGAACATCCCCAAAGGGATTCTAGAACCACTGCTGGAGTCTCATCCTTCCTGTCCACCACCCTCACCTATATCTAAGCATCCTTCTACGACTGTCAGAATTTCCTTGTTGTTTCTTGACCTTGCACCTTTACTTTTTGAACAGGAAAGTGGCTCCTGCTTAGACAACGATCTCTATAAAGGTCATATTGGCAGCTCCACAGTTCATCCTGAAACTTGCCCTTTCTATGTTATTTCAGAAACAAGTCCAAACTGCCATTTATATTCCAATGAATAAAACAATATAAACAATGATCTGGCATCATCCAGGAAGGAACACACTCAGAAGACGACAGAACTCTCAAGGCACAAATGCTGCAGTCCATCCATGTTCTAAAGTCTATCTCTGTATTATGAATCAACTCATCTGTCCTTCTTTGACCAACACTCTGGGTAACAAGCACCCAAAGATCTCAACTAGAATATCCTAGAATCCAGTGACCAAAGTTACAGCAGAGATAGACAACATGGTCAGGTGACTCAAGAACTCTTAGCCAAAAAGTAGAAAACACAGAACTAACATACTTGAAACCCACAGTATTAGGCCACATAATCAGAATTTTAAAAGGATGAGTTTGGTTTCCTAGTCATATTAGATCCATTTAATTCACTTACAGCAATGGTTTTCTTAGGACTTCCCTAGTAGGCAGGGGGTTATAGGGATTGTAAACATAGATTGTGCAGAACAAAACAGTACACCTTACCCCTTACATGCACTGAATTATCTGGGATCTTTTGAAAACAGATTTTGATTCCAGACTCTACCAAAGCTCCTAGATGATGCCAGTGCTGTGAAGCATAGAAAATGCTGTCCTAAGTTCTCCTATTTTCTACCCTGATACAGTCTAGAAAACCACTGCAATATTATGGGTCCAACTTTTCACCTAGAAAAATAATAGGAGCAGCAACAGAAGCTTCAGATAGCAGGCCATGTGCTGCTCTACTCAGCACTCAGCAATGCATCTTGCAAGGATTTCATGTATCACAGTAAGGGAAAATTGTGAGATGCTAAACTTACAACACAAAAAAAAATTGGCATCTTTTATCTTTAAATGGGTTCACCTAATCCACTGAGGTTTTAAATTAAATACTATAATTAGGGAGAAAACAAAATACATTCTTCATTGCATTTAATTTTACAAAATAATTACTGTTCTTTCCCTCTGTTCCTACAATTAAAACAAAATCAGACACATATGACTGGGAGAAATGTTTTCTTTAATTTTTTCTATTTAAATTACTTCCTTGGCATTTGTATCAGCAGTGATGGGTATGCTTTGACTAGGTGCAATATCTGGCCATGGAAGAGAACATAACTAAAACTCCTCACAATAAGCCCCAGTCAACATTTTTAGGACCTGAGCATAGCTAAAAACGGGTGTAAAATGAGCACTGATTGCTAGTCTGAATGGTTATTGCATCAAGGAGATCACGGTGGTCTGTTTGCACTGCCTCTATAAAGTTTTCTTTTATAAGACAATAGAGTAGCCAAGCTAATGGAAATACAGTCACAGATTTACATGAAGATCATTAAATATTGGTTTTACTGTGCTATGTCACATCCTCATTGCCTCACTGCGTAGTTAGACATAGATATTTCTAATAGGAATAATTTGAGAGGATTTTGCACTAATTAAATCATTAGGTAGTATCCCATTAAAGTTAGGCACAAATTTGCACAAGACAAAAGTAAAAACTAGATGCTTCAACTGGTGAGTGTTTTATCCCAATTCACCCAGTAATCTGTAAAAGCGGCCAGGGCAGTTTTACTGTGTAAAGGGAAGACAGGGAAGATGTTGAGTTGGAACACAGCCAGTTCACAGCATGGCTCAGGCACTATCTACAGGTGTATATATAAACAGCTGGATGTGGTGGTGCACACCTTTAATCACATCACTCAGAAGGCAGAGGCAGGCGTATCTCTGAGTTCGAGGCCCCCCTTGTCTACAGAGTGAGTCCCAGAACAGGTAGGGCTGATACACAGAGAAACCCTGTCTTGAAGCACAAAAACAAAAAACAAATAAATAAGATAAACTGAAGGGGTAAGCTGGGAAAGGGTACCTTCCCTTAGCTCTTAAGAGGCCTCTCTCTATAGGTGAGCTGCAAGCCTGGATCTGAATCCCAGCATTTTACAAATTCTCTGATCCCTTGGCCTTGTGCCATAGACTAGGGCACACACCTGTGAGTATAGCCCCTGTGAGGATAACCACAGTCACAACAGAAAACTTCTTAATATGTTGACAGCAAGCTGCTATCCTTTTGCAAAGCCATACGCCACTTGGCCACTGAAACACCTGGGAACAACCATTAGGATGCTTTTATTATCACAACCATACGGAGTAATGTTTGGTGTACTGAATCAAGATTTGCATGTCTTTGTTTTGGAGAAGCCTTCTAGTTTATATTTTAGTAATTCATATGTAAATGTATGCATTGCATATATAAGTGTATGGAAGCATCCCAAGAGGTTGAATTAGGGGTTTAGTATCTGCTGTTTGATTAGCACAATATGAGAAAAGCTTGTGCCAAATATTTTTCTCAGCCATGTAAGTCCAGAGGGTGGCTACCCCTGAATGTTACTCTTCATGTTACTGTCCACCAGTTCTGCTTTCATTTCTGTTTTCCTATTAGTACTAGGAAACGAACCTGGAGCCTAGCGCATGCTGAACCAAGTCATTTCAACTATAACTATGAAGGTGGTCTTGAAAGCCTAGTACTGTGTTAAAAAACACAAGGGGAAAAAAAAAAGATTCTTACTCCCTCCTCACTTGCTTTACCTCCAAAACGTGCTTAAGGCAATAAAACAACATGATACCAATACACTATGTGTGCCTATTAGGGCCAGTGCCCAATGTCTCTAACCATCAAAATAACAAAGAAATTCTTAATACAATTGCCCTCATAGGAGACCTGCAAGCAACAAACTGCAGCCAGCATTAGCAGAGAGAGAA